TAGGAAGATTACGTCAGGAGCAGGGAAAGCTCGGAATCGTGGTAATGACGGGCGTGTTGCGGCAGGCGCGATTCGTCGACGATTTCCGGCCGATCCACGCGTTCCGGTGACATTTACCCTGCTAATTAAAATTGGAACTGAAATTCAGATAGTTACAAATACAGGGAGATCCGCAAAAGCCAATGCACTTCAGGGTGGTAAACAGTCAGATGCGCTAGACTTGAGATAATCCTACCCCTATTTGAATGGCAAATTCAGATTTCCGATCTGTGGCTATGTTGGAGTGAGAGGTCAGAGAAACAAAACGAGAAACCTATATAATACATTACTATTTATTATACGTTTTAGATACGAGTACCAAAGAGTTGGATCAGAGGATAAACTTCGCTTGCAGCAGTACAGAACTTGGAAAGCACCGCGAGAAAGTGACCACGTAAGGCTACCATGAAACTGTGAACAATGCCCTAAATTAACACCGCTGTCTTTGGGACTCCCAAAAAATACTGAATCGGGTCTACCGATGCGACGAAAAAATTTCAACGCAAAATATGAGAACCCACGTTTCTACATCGCCAATGAAAGAAAAGATCGATTTTGCTCTCCGTAACTTTCTTGAACTTACTGATGCAATGAACGTACTCAACCAGTGCACCGAAACCTTTCTTTTCTCCGACTTGCTTTCGTCAACAACCGCGCCACAGACGACGCAACTGGACTTTCCGTTACTCTTCTTGGTGTTGGGCCCTTCCACCATTGACCAAACGACTTCGTCGCTGAATCGTTGAGTCATACCAGCGTGTCGTGGGACGACCGAGTGGACTTTTGTTGCCTAGGGGGATTTAGTTGGCTAACTCCGGATATCCACCTTTTATCGTTCACAGGAGCCACAAAGCCTATCAATCGTCTCCGAGTAAAAGAAAGTTGAGTACACCTAAAAATCCTGTCAGACACCAAACTGTCGCACTTGGAACATGATCTTAAAGAGAGGCTTTGAATACTGTTATTTCCTTTCCATCGCACTTTGCGTTACTGCTAGTTTCTTTTCCTCAGCCTTGGTGGTAGCCCAGCACTCTTCGCCGTAAATAATGGCGGGAAGGACGGCAGAGACGAAGCTTTTTCTTTGTAGACATAGGCAATTTGTTATCCAGTTATCCGTTATGTGACTAGAACTTACCCATGCTCCTTCCTTCTGCTGATCTCGCCGCTGTAGCTGTTATTACAGCCTGTCAGGTGGCCGAAGTATACGTAGTTTGCGACTTCGCCACCAATGAAGATCGCACTCACGCTTGTAACACATCCATTTCGTCGTGGAGATGTTCATCTCAAGATCGATGGCGCATTACTGCTTCAGCAACTGCACCATCTTTATTTGGATTTCTACCAGAATTCGGCGAAGATGAGGTCGTCTGCAAAGAGCAGATGGCCAAGCTGTTTTCCGTCAGTGTTTATGCCGCCGCCCCAGTTCAAATGATTAAAAAAAGATTCCGGCGAAAAGCTTAAGTGAGGTGGTATCTCACGGACGTACTCCACTTCTGATGTCGGTTACGGTGTTCAGTACTCGGTTCCTCGATCAAACCGATGCAGACATGGTTGATACCGCAGTTGTGCACGGCGTTCAGTATAGCGCACGAAACCGATCTGCACGAAGTTCTACAACAACCTCTACTCCTCGAAAGTTGAGATAAACCGGAAGCTGCCAGCACGCTGCCCGGACACCATTCCCGATGTCACCTAAGACGAAGTAGAGTGGAATATCAAGAATGTCAAGGAAGCAAATATCATGGCAGGGAGGGCATAAACCGGAACATATAATGTCGGGAAGCATGAACTGTTCAGTCCTTGCCGAACGACTTACAGAGTATATCAGATTGAAGATGTCAGAAGCATGAAGGAGCTCTTCGATTCATCTGATGAATGTTAAATACCTCTGAAACTATCGACTCATTACCGTCTTGTCACAAGTCTACAAGGTCTTTAGCTAATCATTCTCAACTGTATTCGGCAGGACCTGGAACTGCTCATTAGTAAAAAACAGTCTTCCAAAGAAGAGGTTTTTCCATTATAGACCACGTCCACGTCATGAAACAATTAACAGAGAAGTGCCAAAAAATATCAATTCCTCCTCTGCTACGCATTCATCGACAGAAACCATAAGAGTGTGAACTTTCTTCTGTAAAGAAAGAAACGGGCCGTGTAGGTGATAAGCAATGAAACATCACCGATTTCTGGTACTTCTACACTTCCGTGGAGGAACTGAGGTCATCCCCTCAGTCATTTCGGAAGGGATGAAACGACTGCCAGACATGCAGGTGGAATCATAAAAAATCCGACCATTACTGTTTTGCCACATGAACGGAAAAAGAGAAGAATCAAGTTGGTACCTGTTGCTTTTCTTGGATGTTTCTTAAAAAATTTTCATCGCCAACATCCTCTCGAGTTTCCAACTGCGCGTATTTATACGGTCGATCGCCAAACTGAAAATGAAACGCCTTTGAAATCACATAAAGATAAGAAAACGAAACTTCTGTCTACCTGCATACAGAATAATGCAGACGGTGACCAGACCGGTTATAAAAGTCACACAAAAAGTGGAACCGTTTAAAACAATACAAAGCAATGAAATAAATAAACCATCGTTCTACGTATATAATTAACAATTCAAAACTTCAGAATGTTCTTACGTAGTCGCTGGGCGAAACAGTAAGATTCAAACCAGGTACAGCAGCACTAACAAAAACTGCTGCGACATTCTTTTAGTACTTCTTCGAAACAGTGAATGAAAAACAGTAATTTTCTGCCCCGATACAATAATACATTGCAATAGAAACTAAGCCTTATTATTTTTAACTGTAAGTTTTTGACAAATGAAAAACAAGTAGTCGACAGCGTGCATATCAGAGACGCACTTGCAGAAGGACGAAATCGAAAATTTTTATTACGCAAATGGCAGGTAGCCTAATAATAGTCACATCAAAAACGAATATGAATTAAGCACTTGATGTGCTCAGACTGTGAAGGAATCGCAGAACAAAGGGGAATAATTAGCCCGTAATTCTGTTGGATATGTTTCGCGATCTCTCATAATAATCTGAACTATATCCGTTAATGTGTTCATGAAAGGTGTAGGCGAAGCAAAAATCATTTTTTACGACAGACCTGGAAAACTTCCAAGAAATACCATCGAAGCATTTTGCACTCCTCGGTACTTAAAACATGCACTAATACATAATCCGGCGGAGATGAAACAAATGGCGTAAAGGCAAATTGGTTTCTCCTTACAAAGACAAGAGTAAGAAGAGAAATAATGTTCATCATCAGCTTGGCTGAAAGATTCAAGTGTCAATTGCAATGACTGCAATGAAATAAAACTTATGCTCAAAGAGACCAGCGCGACCAC